ACTTATCTACATAATGTTAATTTAATTTTATAAATCATCAATTCATTTCAATCAAATATTACATATAATAATAAAAATAAAAATTTGGTTTATTTAACATTAAATTAAAATATAATAAGAAATTTTAATAGAACTTTAATTTTTCGGTTCGTCCGACTAATTGAAAATTAAAAGAGAATCACAAAATAAAAACTGAATATTAAAAATTTAAGAACTAAAAATCGAAATCCAATGTTGTAGCCGAATCGAACCAACCAAACTTCATCAGTTCGATTTAATTGTGACCAAATAATACACACTTAATAAAGATTTAATGACAATCAACACTTTTGCAAAATCCACCCCCCAAATTCAGCATTTTATGCACTAACAATCCATTTTTCCAAACTCACCACAAATTCATCAAATCATGTAAATTGTTAATAAAATGTACAATAATAATAATAACAATAATGTTATGAACTCATTCCACAATATATTCTGAGCTATGTGTTACAAGCTACTACACACTCTGAGGATTAAAGCCCTCCAAAAGAAAGGAATTTAATAATAAAATGCCACATTCCATCATCACTAACTAACCCAGCTATCCTCTAAACATGTAATTAAGAAAAAGTTCAGGAAAATGGCAGACAAAATAAAAAAAAAAAATATTTTTTTTTTGTTAATCCAGTAAAAGAATCAAGAATAGAGAAGGTGAGGAAGAGCTACGGGACCTTCACGCCGCTCGGTCGCTTGCCTTCCATGGCGTCCTTCTTGTTCCGGCAGTCGGCGCAGAGGAAAGGGCCTTCCCATGGCCTGGAGCCAGCATGAACTGATATGCCCTCACAAGGAGCAAGGTCCAATTGGCAAATAGCACATTTGAAGAGACTGGAATATAATTTTGATGATGCAGACTGATGTCCTCCTAACCTGGACAATGCATAAAAAAAAAAAAAATTTGAAATTAGGAAGATTTACATACATACCGCTTAAAGTTCTATGTATTTATATAGCCATACCTCTACGTTAAAAGGTGTATTTCACTTTCTAAAGTGTTTAAAATAGCAATATTTACATGCTAAAAGTTTTGTTCTTGGATTTGTGAAAACATAAGAATTGGTTGGTATTTTTGTAAAAGCCCACCTGTGTGATTGAGGAGCGATGTTATGACTTGACAGTTTGAAATGTTAAGCAGAAATTAAAATGACCAAGCCCACATATGTGATGTACAAATTTCAGGGTTATTTACATACATACCACACAATTCTAATGCGATTACATTTCAAACACCCGCACATTCGTATTTACAAGCATGCCATTCAAAATTTTAACATCGCGTCAAAAATACGACCATCACTTTTTTTTAAAAGTGAAAAAGACACATTTTAACGCATAAGCTTATGACACCAAAACATTATATGTGGCAATATCAAACTGTGGGTGTTAGATACGTAAATACATAAGAATTGTGCGGTATGCATGCGAATTTGACTCAAGCCCCGAGGGAAGCTTAATGTTTCACTCATTACACCAAAAGATACATCACATTGGAATCTAAACTTTTACTGCTATAGTCTAATAAACCTTCTTTAATTTTCAAGGAAAGATTTAAGCGCCGTGTACGCACATAACACACAATTCTTATGTATTTACATATCTAAAACCTAACTTCACTATTTACATTCACAACATTCAAGTTTTTAACATCATATCAAACATACCACTATTATTAATATTTTGACATTTTTTCACGCATATCCATGTATAGGTCTATGACATCAAAATATTATAAATGCAAATATAAAAGTTAAGGTATTATAAATGTAAATACATAAGAATTGTGAGGTATGCATGCAAAATTCCCAAAATTTAATTCATTCTCGGTCTCCTTTTCATCTAGAAGGTTGTCTAGTATCATTCCTTGCTTAGGCCTTTGTCTTGTCAATCACTTCCCATCCTCACATTGCCCACTTCAAATTCTGTCACAAGCGCACCAACTTCTACTTGTTTCGCCCTTAGACAACAAGTCCTACTAGAAGTATAGCTCTGATACCAATTGTAATAACTAAATTCACATCCCATAATAAATTGAACTGTACAATTTTAGCTTTCTTAGAGAAACTTATGAGTCACCCTTTGCAATAATGAAGGCTCGATCATGGGGGACATATGACCATTGAATTCATAACAAAGCTCCACTCATCACACCAAAATGTACCTCGCATATTTGTTTATTAATCTTACCTCCATTACCATTGTGGGATTTAGTATATTCATGTCTTTTACTCTTATAACTATGATATCCTAAGAACATGCCAAGGGATGCTAATTTTGTTGGGCTATACCCTAATAAAAACTCCCTATCTCCTTCAAAAAGCCCCTTTCAAATTCAAGAAGTCATAAAAGAGGATTAAACAAATGAAATTAGCCTTGAATTAGATAACAAAAAAGGCATGCCAAAGATAAAACCAATCTTTGCTAGCTCCACATTACTTAATTAGAGCTACAATATTGCCTCTAGGAACAAAAAGAAAAGATGGGAAAACTTACATACCTAGAGCAAAATTCTTATATATTTACATATATTACACCTATACTTCAATATTTACACAAAACACTTTCAAGGTTTAAACCTATTCATGAAAAAAGTATATTTCATTTTTAAAAAGTGGTAATAATGCTATTTTTGATGTGATATTAAATATTTGAGCGTTATGTGTGTAAAACTCAAGCTTAGGCGTGCGGTATGTGAATACATAAGAATTGTGTTAAATGTATGTACATGCCCCAAAAAGTTGCATGTCCAAGTAACTTTCAAACACATACAATAATAAAATAAAAGGTATATAATCATTCATCAAGCAAGTGAAGCCATAACGTTATACCAATGTATTTCACCAATAAATGCATTGTTTTGATAACCCATTATTTAATTTGGAACAAACTAAAAGTCGACATTTTGAAATCACGATTATATTCTGATGTAATAAGAGTCATTCATTGCGAAAATTTGATGCATCTTACTAAAACTAAAACAAGTCTAAAGACTTAAAATTGTGCATGAAACTAAGTTTAATACTATTTATCCGAGTGATTATAACATGATTATAATAGTAAATATCAAATCATCAAAATCTAATTATGTGGATAATAGTGAATCTTCTCCTAGGAAATGCTTATCCCACAATACATATTTATAAATATAACCAGCATTTGTATCTATCTACATAAGGAATCTGAGCTCAACAATCCAAGATGCAATGTTAGTCCGACACCTAAGACCAATTTAGGGTCTGTTTGGGGCAGCTGCAGCGGTTTGAAGAAGCAGCTATGAAGTTGCTGCAAAAAAAACAGTTGTGAAGTTCCTGCTGTTAAAAAACATAATTGGCTATTACAACTTCTTTTTCAAAAAAAATGTTTGTGAAGTTGTTGTTCAAAAAACCGATGTGGCTATTACAAATTTTTTTCAAAAAGTCAGAGCACAACTTTCTAGCAACCACCACACTTAATCAGGTCAGGTTGCATAATACAGCTTTCCACTGCAGTTTTTTGAAAAAAGAAAGCAAAACGTAGTTTTTTCAAACACAAAAAAATGTGGTACGACACCGCACTGCCACTACACCGTTGCCCTATATGCACTATTAATCTTTTTACTAGTTACTATTGTGAGGTATAAAGAGGGTTTATTATGCATATGGTTAGGTTATGATGAGATTGTGTATTGAGTTTTAGAGTTAGAATTTGGGAGAAATCTTCCACCTATCGAATTGTATATGTTAGGGAGAGATTGTCTACGTATCTAATTGTAGTTACTTATCTTTATGTATTTGAATTGTGTTGTTTTGTGTTATTGAAGAAAATATTTGTTCGCTCAAATTTCGGTGGAAATTCGTCTCCGTCCCTATCAAATTTGTAATGTTAAACCGGCGCCGACGGGCAAGTTAGTCTTGTTATTAGTTATTATTGTGGGGTATAAAAAGAGCTTACTATGCTCAGAGTTAAGTTATGATGAAATTATTGTCCTAGGTCTTAATGTTAGAGTTTGGGAGAGATCGTCTACCTTTCCAATTTGTAGGTGTTAAAGAGAGATCGCTTACCTCTCAAATTATAGGTACTTATCATTATATATTCGAACTGTGTTAATTTGTGTTATTGAAAAAATATATTTGTTTGCCTTAATTTCGATGGAAATTTTCCCCCGTTCGTGTCATGCAACTATAGGGCAAAAAATGAAAAAAATTGAGCATGAACTTCACTATTTAGCTGAAAGAGTAAGCTCATAAATCATCCAAAAAATATGGTGCCACGAAGAATTTAGAGTAAGATGAGTTCAAAAAAATGGTTAAGCACAAATTTGGATCGATTCATATGTGTAACTTAGATGTCATTTCATCAATGGCTTAGGATTGTTTGAGTCATTATATCATTTTGATCACAGACACTTTCATTTTTCTCAAGATTAAGAGAAAAATTTGCATTTAAGTTTGCTATCTTATTATTAAGGACTGAAATCTATAAATAGAAATCTTACATATTATCCAACATTAAATGATTTTGTATATTAGCACATAGAATAAAAATTATCCCGCGTAAACCTCTCTATTCAGCTAAAAAAATAAGCGCATGAATCAGTGAAACAATAAAATGTCAGGAAGTTGTTAAACCGGTGCTTAAGAACAATTTAAAGTTTCATTAGTTATTATTGTAGGGTATAAATCGAGCTTATTATGCTTAGGGTTAGGTTATAATGAGATTGTTGTCTTCAGTCTTAGGATTAGGGTCAGAGAGAGATCACCTACCTTTTAAATTGTAAGTGTTTGGGAGAGATCGACTGACTCTAGAATTGTAGAGGCTTATCATTATATATTCAGATTGTGTTGTTTTGTGTTATTGAAAAAAAAAATTTATGTCCTAATTTCAATGGAAATTCGTCTTTCGTTCGTATCAAATTGGTTTTAAGAGCATTTGATTTCTGGGAGATCAATGACAAAATCACAACTTACAGTCGCTACCTTCATTCATGAGCTAGCCTCGCGAAATAGTTAGCAATCCGAGCAAGCTGGGAAGACCGATAGGATTGCAACATACTGTCATTTTGTTCATTCGATGGAGCCTTGATAAGAGCTAATTGGGCGCGCTGATAGGATCACGTCTTCCGTCTTTGGCTATTCCTGCCCCTCTCCAATCATACGGGATTGTGCAATACAATTGCGAGATGATGAGATTCGATCGCGATTTGAGAGAGCCAAGTAGCGAGATCGTGTCTTAAAGGATTTCTAAAACCATACAGTGAGTAATTGCGACCAAAAAAATGTGTTGGAGGATAAATGAAAGGAAGAGGAGAGCCAAATCAGATCTGAAATGGAGGAGTGTTGCTCACCCTTGTAGGAGCAGTTCTAGTCAATGAAGCGGAGATTCACGACATGAAAAAATGAAGATTCTGGAGTTTCACACAAAATCGCCTCAGTCCGTCGCGACATCTAGAGCGAACTTGAGCAATGACAATGTGAAAAAATGGTGTGACAACAGGGCAACGTCGTTGTTCTAGGCAGATCAAAAACCACATGATCGAGCGAAGGAATCAGATGCAGACTCAAGCGGAGCACTTAGAAAAAATAGCACGACATCTAGACGACTAAAACGAATAAATGAGGATGAGATTTAGCGAACGATTCAAGAGTGAATTTGAGCAGTAGCGTCTGGAGGAAATTGCGAGACATTAAGAGAAATTGAAGAATGAAAACTTGCAGTGGAGAAAGCGGTGACCGAGACTTTTGATAAGTTAAAGAATGTCATAACAATGTAGCAACGTCTGCATTACCTGATTTCAACCAATCTTTTATTGTAGAGACAAATGCTTAAGGCTACGGATTAGGCCTAACCTGTAGGCAATATCAATGATCGATCATTTATTTTAATCAAGTGTTGAC